TCTTTAAATAGTATATATGTCGACATACAAGTCAATTTTATACAGGTGAATCATAATGATATATATATTTTTTTCCGTCAATTTGATTAATAGAATATTTTATCAGTATGGTTGCATATTGGCTTACTGGTCGATAACGTTCTTGTCCTTTTTATTAGCTCACCTGGTCCGATTGGCCATGTGAGCTATTGCCATCGCTAGACGTCCGTTGTTACCATTCGTCAATTTTTTTTTAAATTACTAGAACACATCCGCGAAATCGCGGGTCCGTGACTGAATTCAGTACCTACGCCTTATTATTAGCCTGGATATTTAATATTCCTATTGTCATCTGAAAGTCATGCTGATTGTAAGGTGCACAGTTCTCTCTGCTTTTAAAATCTTTCTGTTTGAATCTGTCCTGGTTTTCTTATTACAACCGAAATGTACAAATGTACATGTGACATAAATATTGGTATCGGTATCGGATTCGACCTGGAATGGTAATTTTAATTATGTGGAAAACAAAAGGGCCTGGAATGGTGTAATTTTTAATCAACACCATTGTCCTATATTAATTATGTATACAGTTGAATTCTTTGTTTCGTTGTTTCTACGTCATGCCGGCTAACAAATTTAACCTCGTTAATTTAGTATAATAGTAACTGAGTTGTTATGAGTGTGTAAAATCACTATTCGGGTCCGATCAGATAAAACATACGTGTAAGTAGTAAATACTTTTTTAAAAGGTTTCAAAAGTTTATTTACTTAGTTACACTGTGCTTGTGTGTAAGAATGCTGGAGTTATCTACCTTATTCTGTTAAACAACCATAAGATAATGTTTAAGTGCCACAGATAACTGATCATTTTTAATAATGTGAAAACTTTGAAATTACCAAATTGTTTTTAGGAGGTTTAATGTTTGAAAAGTTCATAGATAAAGAAAGGTATACAGCGTTTCGTTTATTTTCTTTGCCATGTCTTCATAATGAGTTTAAGTTTGCCAGAGTCACCTACCTTGTAAAAATATACAGAAGTTTGATAGTTCTGTTAAAAAATAGCTGAATAAGAACTCAAATGTCGGGTTCGATTTAAAATTTCTTGTGACTCCTAACGAAATTTTTTTAATATTCCAATAGACTAAGAATCGAGCATTATAGAACATAATATATAACTTTAAATTGTAATTTTTGTTTGTGGTTATTTTCGAGAATGTTCAGAGGTTGGTAAATTCAAACAAGTGCCTCAAATCCTTATGAAATGAAATTAAAACTACCATAAATTATGAATGGCAATTGTTAGTAGTCCGCTGTATAAGTATACCGAACATTTCGAAAATAACAGCATGGTCAGACTTTGTTGTATGTAATGTTTCCTTACAGGTAGTTCTCGTTGGAAGAACGGCAGTCAGCATGTCAAATTTAGTACAAGGCGCCAGACACACATTGAATGCACCAGCAGTCAGATATTCAAGACTTACACAACGCTGTGCTAAAGTATTTAGTAGATTTCAAACTGCGTGATGATGAATTGTTAAGTTTAAAGTTTTTCAATATGATAGCTGATTGTTTTGTTATACTGACTTGAAATAGCCAACTTAAAGTTTAAGTTTTGATATCATTATGATAAACCATTGTTTTGTGGTGATATGCTTATTACACGTTACTTCGATTTGACCAACTTCGATTACTATGGTAACAAGTATAATGAAGAACTTTGAATTTTATGATGTTACATAACATATTAGGTTAAGATAGCACGAAATCATACAGTATAATGTCACGATAGGTTTATCGCAAACTATAATGATTACTACTACACGTAATCCAGCTACCCGGATGGTGACTCTATAGTAATGTAAGAGTAAACAAGTCATATTTAAGCTACCCAGAGGATGACTCTATATTAATGTAAGACTACAGAAGTCATAAACCAGTCACGTGGGAGATAACCCTTTTCTTATATTGGATTATAGGAGTCAAAATCCAACTACCCGGCTGATGGCGCTATATCGATGTAGGCCTATAGAAGTCATAATCAAGATACCCACGACGATGATCATTTATTAATGTGAGATTTAAGGAATCATAATCAATATAACAACCCGGATAATGACTCTTATATATATGCAAGCTACCCAGATGGTACCTTATATTAATAAAGGACTAAAGGAGTCATAAGAAAGCTACCCTGATGGTACCTTATATTAATATAGGACTATAGGAGGCATAAGCAAGCTACCCAGATGGTACCTTATATTAATATAGGACTTTAAGAGTCATAAACAAGCTACCGAGATGATGACTTTTTTTCTAATGTAGGACAATAGAAGCAATAATCTAGAGTCTTGGTACAATAATTTGAGGTAACTCATAAGGCAAATGTATCCTTGAAATATAGGCCTCTCTACTTGAATGATGTCTGTGCTCAAAAGAATCTGGCAAATCATTGAAAAATGTATGCTCGATGATAAGCTCTTCCTTTCATTCAAATACCCTTTTCAGTTCTGCTGAAACATTATCCCTTTCATTAGCAGTACTATGCACTGACACAACAAATTCAAAAGGAAATTAAATTGGTCAACAGATAAAAAGTAAAATAACAAAAATACCGAACTCCAAAGAAAATTCAAAAAGGAAAGTCCCTTATCAAATAGCAAAATCAGAAGCTCAAACACATCTTTTTCTCTAGATGCACATGCTTTGTCTTTTTAATTTTCGAATGTTTGTTCTTTAAAAACAGAAAATTTGCATGGGTGCATTGTATTTGGGCCAATAGTTGAATGATTTGCAATATTTCATTTGCGCCACAAGGATATATTTCATTTGCGCCAAAAAAAATAATTTAATTCATATTTTGCGCCATTTTTCAGGTAACAAAAATGACGATAAAGTTTTAAAGTAAGTTGTCTTCCAAATACGAGACTATTATAAAAGAGAGGCGACAGATACCAGAGGGACATTCAAACTCATAAGTCGAAAATAAACTGACAACGCCATGGCTAAATAAGAAAAAGACAAAAAGACAAACAGAAAAACAGACAAACAATAGTATACAAAACACGACAAAGAAAACTAAAGACTGAGCAACACGAACCCCACCAAAAACTGGGGTTGATCTCAGGTCCTCCGGAAAGGGTAAGCAGATTCTCCTCCACATGTGGCACCCGTCGTTTTGCTCATGTTAGTACAAACCCGGTAATAAGTCTTATTCAGTAGGTTACATTCGGGAAAAGGGGACGGGATTATAAGAAATTTTGCTGAGAACCCTTGAGTATGTAAATGAGTTCGTTTTAATTTTTCATATACCTGTATAACAAAAAGTAACTTGGGTATAGAATTGTGCAATGTACACCTTTTGAGGTGACAAGATGACGTAAAATTCAGATCTATCACAACTCGCCTGCTCGTAATATAAGCATTTGAGGATAGTGAAATCAGAGATCTATATTTTAATTAGATTGAAGATAGACATAATTCAATCTGTTATACACAGAAGAAATGACACCGTATTATTTATGGCAACACAGTCGTGTTGATTATCCAGTGTATTGAGTCAAGTCCTATAAATGCATAGAAGAATCACTTTCTAAACAGATGGGACAAGTTGCATGATGCAATCAAAAACTTTAAGATATATTCAATGTTTAACATAATTATTAAAACTTTAAGGTAGTATCATACTTCACAGCCTCTTGTTTTTATTGCTGGCAAATTGAATATACTTATACAAGTATATGTAAATAACATAAATTGAATAGCATAAATGTATTACTATCATTTACCCTATATACCTTTATTACTGACGAAAATGAAAAAAAAAATATTTTGATGCAGATGAAATACGGTTTTGGCGCAAATGAAATGTCAATTGGTGCAAATGCAAAGCACCGACACATTTTTGAAAAAAAAAAAACGTTTTGTGTTCGAAAGTGATATTTAAGTATATATTGATATTTTAAAAAAAATTTAGTAATATAAATTAATAATTAAAAACATTACTATTTTGTTGAATTGAACAATTATTGAGCCAGTTTATATAATACAGCTTGTTTCCATCTCACTTTGAAACACACACTACAAACTAGTAAAGTCTGGAATGGACAGTATTTGTACTCGACTGTACTGATTTTTACTCGACCATTGTGAATTGGTCTGATTTTTACTTGATATTACTCGACTGTAGTCTGAACCATACAAACCTTTTTATAGAGTCTGAACCATATTTTATATAAGTCTGACCTATACTCGACTAAAGTCTTAACCTTACTCGATCAAGTCTGAACCATACTTGACCAAGTCTGAACCATACTCGACAATAAACTGACATTTAGACTGATGTAATAGGTTATGACAAACATAATTATAAATATATGTGGGAGGATATTTTGTCAAAGTATTTCCCATTTGTATAATACTATCACTAAATTTTGTTTTATTCATTTAATCTTAAATCTAAAAGTTTATTACACTCTAAGTCACACCATTTGTTTTATACATGGTAGCCAGGGATCCTGACTAACTGCTCTGTAGTACTGACGCGACGAGGAGATCTGATCAGGATGCCAGTCTATATACATTGGTAAAAATCAAATCGACACCTGCTCAATTCGGCACCTAGTGAAAAAGTCAAATCGGTATCTCATCAAATCGGCACATATTAAAAGTTATTTCTACATTTCCTTAATCAATACGGCACCTTATGTTATTTTTATCCTTTGTCATTTTTGGAGGTGGAAAGAGTTTAGTTTTTCAGTACATCATTAAAAATCATGACAAAACATATAGAATGAACAAGAAAATGAATAAATATGTTCAAGTGGTATCATTTTCTAACTCGATCTGATTAAAATATAGTTCCCTAAGATTGATTTACAAAAAAGAACAATCATATTTTGAAACCTTAGAATAAGTCACTAATAATAAGTCATTCAGAAAATATCTAAACAATACACACGAATCAGCATTGTCATGTATACAATTTGCATTAAAGTTTTACATTGCGAAAGTTTGCATCAAGGTATTCGCATTGGTAAAAGTGGTATGAAGGTATTTACATTGTTATATTAAAAGAAAAAACGTGACATTTGTTTAAATTCTGACATTTATCGCTGACACATGCTATATAAACTTTAGTGCTCCAAGAAAATTTTCCATTTCATGTATCTGGGTGAATAGGAAAGTGTACATACTATTACACAGAAAAAGGTAAATTATTAGTTTTACTATTTTGTTATAGAATGACTGTAAATAGTATTATACTAGTAGTTCGAACAATAAGTCAATTGAATGATATTTACAAAAACGGAAAATCAGAAACATATCGGTGTGGTGCGCACTGAATTCAGTATTATAAATTGTATTTACAAATGTTTGAGTTTTTGTTGTTGTCAATTTGTAAAGACATAACATATTTCTGTCCTGATCATTTGTGTCCGACACTCAATAATATCTATCATCCGCCAACATGTGACATGCATGTTTATTGAAAAAAAAATAATGAAGACTGACGTTTAAATTGTCAAATAAATAATGTGAGAATATTATTTTACACCAACCAGCATTTTATTCAATAAGAAATTGGAAGAAAGGGAAATTTAATCTATTTACAAAGTTAAACGTTAAATGTATGCTTCATACTTATATCTTTAGAGTACAAATAATCAAAATTTCTGTGCACATAACACCGATTTGGGAATCACAAAATGTATATGTAATATATTTAATATACAACTATACATACACAAGTTTAGGAATTCATATGTAAAAGATAAACATTTGACCCCTCCTCTCCGCAACTACTTTCTTTTTTACTTAAGATGATTAACGGGAAAATAAATTCATTTGATAAAAAGCAAGCCGATTAATTGTTTCCTTATGAATACATTATGACGATCATTTTTGCTGCATTCATGTTTAAGATATTTTGTTGTGTTCATGCCCAAAAGTAATATGTCCTGAGGATAAATAAATCTCTTTGATAACATTCGAGAAAACTATCCATTCGAGAAAAAAATCATTGATGCATCAGCCCAACAGCCCAACTTTCAGCAAAAGACATTTCGAATTCAACATTACAGTGTTCAGCACTGTGTTCAACACACTACAACTCAACAGCACAAAAATCAACAAAAGACATTTCGAGATCAACAATACGGTTTTCAACAATATAGACACGTGTCTCTATAACACGTAACAACCCAACAACACAAATATTAACAGAAGACATTTCGAGGTCAACATAACAGTTTTCAAAAATAGAAAAGTGATTAAACATCATATCAATCTCTTTCTGCCCCGATTTTAAAGAAAATGTATAAATGTATAAATGTGTTTTATCAAACCTGCTTTTATTTTGTTTGTTTAATAATTGGGTAACAATATCATCATGCATATAATGCTCGACCCACTTCATGGAAATATAATCAACCCGTTGGACGATACTAGTAAGAGCAAAGACTGAAAAGAAGGTCCGTCTTCATGTACCATTATATAAAAGATGTAAATTTTACACGTTTATTTTGGACTACTTTCATTTTCAGAGGTCAGAATTTGGTGGTCTACAAGAAATATGTCAAACAACAGTATTACCGGTAGGTAGTTTACCAAAATACAACATTGGTCTTAAAAATTTTAAATGACCATGAAAATATCGATGTGTTTGAGCTTTTTTTTTAAAACAAAATTTCACTTTATGTACGTTAAAACTGACGGCGGATAGCGAAATATTATTTCAATTTTTATGTTTAAAACAAAAACAAAATCTTACTTTAACTTTTGTCTAAACCGTAACTTTTGCCACTTTAAAATTGTTTTTATATTTACATCCTTTTGCAACGATGCCACAACATTTTTTGTGCTCTCATGCCACACATTTGTCATACCTATTGCCACTTTTTCTTTAATTTCAGACAGTAAGATTAAAATGTTAAGTAAGAGATTTTTAGATTAGGGGATACAATAAAAAAAATTATGATAATATATTTGAGAAACTCATAACCAGAATGATGCTATAAATACATGACAAAAAAGTAGCTTATTTTCTTTATTCTTTTCACAGGCTCAACGCAAACTACACTTGGGACAGCACAAGACAACACCAATATAGCTATAACTATTAATGTTGGTCGACTCCCATTGAAACGAAATAGTCAAACTGCAAGTAGAGATTTTAATCAAAATGGAAATTGTCGTTTCATATGGAAGTCTTCAGATCCCGGCGATCCACGCAATATGGACATTGAACTAACTAATGAAAACTTTGGAAAACAGATAACAAATGAATGGTAAGTATACCACGTTATTTAAACGTCAAGGTAGGGGCTATCTAAGATAAGAGAAAGACGTGCAAACCAAATATTGGCTTAATGGACAAATGCATTTTGTACATTTGAATAATCTAAAATTAACAAACAATGGTAACTACTCTTGGTTCTTAGTGATAAGCACAACAATCTCAACGCCAGTGAAAGAAGGTTTATTTATTATCAGCACCAAAGTACGCTATTATCATGATTTTACATGTTTGAGATACAATAATGGATAAGATTTAGTTCGTTATAAAGATACAGTGCCCGGACATCGAACTGTATCTTTCAACGAACTAGTATTTATCCATGATTGTGTCTCGTTTTTAAACTATTGTTGTCTTTTCAAAATTATTTCAATCGCAGACGATAATTAATATAAAATTGTATGAGCTTACAGTGTAAGGAATATGATTCATAAAAGTATCCATCATTGACAATATAAAAGCATTTTCAAATTAAACAACAGTAAAATATTAAGAACATATTTTCATCTCAGTTCAAACTAGTTGTGAATTACAAATACATTGCAACAGATAAAATTACCATATACATCACATATGAAATGTTCTCGCCCTTTACGTAAACTAACTTTAACTTGGACTTCTTTCTGATGGTTTCTATAACTTTTAATATTTCTATACAGAAAGTTCTTTATATTAAATAACATCAAGCAAAGTGTCAAAAGTTCGCTTGATGAACTGGTACGTACACTTGGTACAATCAAAAACCTGATAATAAATTGTTCAAATAAGGCATTTGAAAATAGTGGAATTAACTACTTTTGGAATGTCAAAAACTCGTTGGAAGTACTTGATAAATTGCATGCATATATTGGTGATTTTGAATCTGTTCAAAGTGTTGATTTTTCTACCCTATATACCACTTTGCCTCATATTCTTATTAAGAAAAAATTCACACACCTAATTAAATGGGCATTTAAAAAGTCGGAATGCAAATACATATGTTCAAACTCTTTTAGGTCATTTTTTAGTAGGAACAAACAAAAGAGCTATGTCAATTGGACATGCTTTGATACTATATCTGCCCTTGAATTTTTACTTGATAACATTTTTGTTTGCTTTGGAGATTCCGTATATCGTCAAGTTATCGGAATTCCAATGGGGACTAACTGTGCACCACTTATTGCGGACCTGTTTTTGTATTGTTATGAATTACAATTTATGACTAAAATCAGCAAAGACCCATCGAAACAACATCTGATACAAAAATTTAACAATACTTTTAGATATTTGGATGATATATTGGCTCTCAATAATGACAACTTCAGTATGTATACTGAAAAATTTATCCTGTTGAACTTACTTTAAATAAAGCTAATACTAACAATGACCACTGTCCTTTCCTCGATCTTGACATCTATATCATTAACGGGAAGCTTAATACAAAAAATTATGATAAAAGAGATGATTTTTCATTTCCTATCGTTAATTATCCTTTTTTAGATGGTGACGTTCCCTTGTCACCTTCTTATGGTGTTTATATATCTCAACTTGTACGATTCGCTCGTGTATGTAACAACGTATTAGATTTTAGCAAAGAAATTTATATATTACTGAAAAATCATTACACCAGGGTTTTCGATATCATAAACTAGTCAAAACATTTACTAAATTTTATCATCGGTATAAGGACATCATTCGTAAATATAACTCAACATGCAGACATCTTATACGTTCGGGTATTTCACATCCAATCTTTAATGGTAATATTCTTTACAAAGCACAAAAATGCCAGTATTCACCTCAAAAGCTAACCTTTAAACAGACTTATTAAGAAGGGATATAGTTACGATACTGTTGTCAGGTCATTAAAGATTGCATATTTTGGTTTTAATATTCATTCACTTATAGGGTCTTTGCATCGGAAATAAACGTATTTATTCTAAAACCAGTTAATGGCATGACACGGGTTGTGTTCTTCTCATATATTTTATGACGGTATAATACTAAACCCCTAACAGGAGGGATTGTGCCTGATATGCATATGATGAAGACATAATCTTTCAATCAGTTTAATTGAGGTCTGGAGCTGGCATGTCAGTAACTGCTAGTAGTCTGTTGTTATTTATGTATTATTGTCATTTTGTTTATTTTCTTTTGTTTCCTATTCTGACATCGGACTCGGACTTCTCTTAAACTGAGTTTTACTGTGCGTACTGTTGTACGTTTGTTTTTTCTACATTGGCTAGAGGTATAGGGGGAGGGTTGAGATCTCAAAAAACATGTTTAACCCCGTAGTCTTGTATCATTTTTAATTTTAGTTTCTTGTGTATAATTTGGAGTTTAGTATGACGTCCATTATCACTGAACTAGTATACATATTTGTTTAGGGGCCAGCTGAAGGACGCCTCCGGGTGCGGGAGTTTCTCGCTGCATTGACGACCCATTGGTGGCCTTCGGCTGTTGTCTGCTCTATGGTCGGGTTGTTGTCTCTTTGACACATTCCCCATTTCCATTCTCAATTTTATTCTTTATTTTAATAGATAAAGTCTTGAACTCCAATGTATCGCTTTCGGACAGAGGGTACAGATCATTGCCGATATCCACCATCTATATAGTTTGTGAAAGATCTAGTAAACCTTTTCTAACTTGTAATCCCCTGTTGCATTCCTCTATTTGTTTATTTTTCCTATCGCTATTTACTCCTATTTCATTTTCCTTTTTCTGTTCTGTTGTTGATGGCCGACACTTGGCACCCTTTTGGGTCTTCCTGTAAAATCTTCCATTTTCAATTATGAATAGCTTAGTGTCGATCAACCGTCCACCAGAGATAGTTTGTTTTGCTGATGGGTTACTGCCTATAGACGAGATCCATAACATTATTGATGGCTGGGGTTATTTCCTCAATCTCTACACCTGGGGTGGCGCGGTAGATTCCTGCTCTTCGCGATTGATATTTATTGTCTCTTCGCCTGACTCTTGTTGTTTGCGAATGGGGAAGGCTTTTTCATCTACCGATTTAAGAATCATGGATAGGTTGACGTCATAGCAATTGTTTAAATGATATCGATTAATCGTGTTAATTTCATATTTATCGTACATTTTTCATACTTTTAGCACCAACAGATTTTGATAACTACATTTATTTATTGAATCTGTTTGCAATTTTGGGACTAACGTCTTCGGTTTATATCATGTTGACCATTCGCGTTGAGTTTGCTTAATTGAATTCGTCGTGACTGAACTATGATAACTGAATATATAAAGTGTTAGACCGTACCAAAATAAAACAAGATATACAGGATAAAAGATACATTGTACATGCAATTGATAGAACATGAAATTATTGATTTTCGCAATAAATTTTCCGTTTCCCCTCAGTAGTTTGTGATCGGTTTGATAAAACCTTTCGGAATTTTTGGGTCCTAAATGCTCTTTATCTTTGAACCCTTATTTGGCCTTTTAACTTTTTCGATTTGAGCGTCGCTGATGAGTGTCTTGTCGACGCCTTGCGCGTCTGGCGTACACAATTTGAGGCGTGGTAGTTATGTTGAGTTTGCTATGTAGTTTTTATGATTCCATTGATCGAGATTAAAACAGGAGGATGTTTGAGATATAAAAAGAACTAGTTGAACGCCGCCACATGTCTGAGTACGAGTCAGGAGTTTCGTTAATGAACGGTTGTCTTTTGTTATATCTCAATGCTCTCTGTCATTTTTTAACGAAAGTTATGTGTTGATTGCAGATCTTTGATAGTTTCTGTTAAATTTGTTCTCTTTTTCTTATTCTTGTATTGTGCGTACTGAGTTATGTATCAGACGTTTATATATCAAAGAGACAGATTAAAAAAAAACAGGTTGAATGTTTTACATGACTCAGTCTGTATACCTCATGGTTATATTAATTTGCAAAACTATGATTCTGATAACGTTAAGCATGTTTTAATATTCTTATAAATTATATTTCAGAGTGAAGACTGACGACAAAGTTTGCATGAATTAATCATATGAACACATTCCATGCATATCAGATATGGACATATCTGGACGTAAACCAACAACAACAATCAATAAGTCATACTCATAAGAAACATAAGTTAACCTGTGACCTGTTATTCTTCTTTAATCAACTGTTTGTCTAGTACTGTAACAGATACTATTCTATGGCCAAATTTGTAAATGTATATGTATGACAAAGTGCACTAACATGGATATATAGGTTAATCTATATATACTGCAAACATTATATCCCAACTCATAGAGGGGGGCTATATTTTATTCACCTTGTCCGTCTTATCATTCGTTCGTCTGTTGACTTTAAAACATCATAGAAATTGCAACTTCATCTAGAAAATTTCGCCAAATTTATACTCATCACAAAATCTCAAGACCAAATGACACAGAAATTAACAACTATAGGTCACCGTACGGCGTTCAACAATGAGCAAAACCCATACCGCAAAGTCAGCTACAAAAGGCCCCTAAATGACAATTGTAAACAATTAAAACCAGAAAACTAACGGCCTAATTTTTGTACAAAAAAATAAGCATATTAGTTTTTTGTTGTGGTATTGTACATGTTGTACATGAATAAAGCCATTGGTTTACTTGTTTGAACTGTTTTCAATTTTTTAATGTCAAATTTTTCATAGCTTGCTATCAACAATTTGTTTTGCTCATTGTTGAAGGTGTACAATGATCTGTAGTTGCTAACATCTATATACATGTAACATTTAATATATGCCCTCCTTTTTGAGGAATAAGGGAGATTTAGTAAAATATTTACACTGAATTTTACGAGTATAAATTAACAACAGATACAATAGGTAGGTCCTATTTGGACTGACACTGGAAAATGAGGACATATATATAGGGACAGAAATTTTGCCTTGCAACAGGTCACCTACCGACCCATCAAAGAGTTGTTGCAAGGGTTCTAAACGTGCAGAGATCGTGACACTCTCTCTACACGATGCATCGGATTTAACGTCCCCCTTCTGACCGGACATGGCTGAGTACTAATTTTGTACATGCTGCATAGCCAAAAAGGAAGTTATTGTGATGAGCAATAATATTATAGAATTGAGAATAGAAATGAGGAATGTGTCAAAGAGACAACAACCCGACCAAAGAGCAGAAAACAGCCCAAGACAACCAATGGGTCTTCAACACAGCGAGAAAATTCCGCAACAGGAGGCTGGTTTCAGCTGGCCCCTAAATAAAAATGTGTACTAGTTCAGTGAAAATGGACGTCACACTAATCTCTGATACATATTAATGAACTAAAATTAAAAAACATACAAGACTAACAAAGGCCATAGGCTCCTGGCTTGGGATAGGCGCAGAAATGCGGCGGGGTTAAACATGTTTTGTGAGACCTCAACCATCCCCTATACCTCTAGCCAATGTAGAATAAACAAACACACAGCAATACACACAGTAAAACTCATTTTAAAAGAAGTCCGAGTCCGATGTCAGAATAGGTAACAGAAGAAACTAAGCAAAATGACAATGATACATAAATTTACAAAGGACTACTAACAGTAACTGTTACTGACATGCCACCTCCAGACCTCAATTAAACTGATTGAAAGATTATGTCTTCATCATATGAAAATCAAGTACAATCCCTCCCGTTAGCGGTTTAGTATCATCCCATCATAAAATATATGAGAAGAACATAACCCGTATCATGCCAACAACTGGTTTTAGAATAAGTGTGTTTATTTCCGATGCAAAAACCCTATGAGTGAATCAATATCAATTCCAAAAAACGCCATCTTGAATGACCTGACAACAGTATCGTAACTATATTCCTTCTGGATAAGTCTGTTTAAAGGTTTGGTTAGCTTTTGAGGTGAATAACGACATTTTTGTGCTTTGCATAGAATATTACAATAAAAGATTGGATGTGAAATACCTGAACGTATAAGATGTCTGCATGTTGATTTCTATTTACGAATGCTGTCCTTTGTACCGATGATAAAATTTAGTAAATGTTTTGACTATTTTGTGATATCGGAAACCCTGGTGTAATAATTTTTCAGTAATACAGAGATTTCTTTCGTTAAAATCAAATACGTTGTTACATACACGAGCGAATCGAACAAGTTAAGATACATAAACACCATAAGATGGTTACAAGGGAACGTCACCATCTAAAAAAGGATAGTTAACAATAGGAAATAAAAAAAATCATATCTTTTATCGTAAATTTTGGTATTACCGGTAAGCTTCCCGTTATAGATATAGATATCAAGATCCAGGAAAGGGCAGTATTCGTTGTTAGTATTAGATTTATTCAAAGTCAGTTCAGCAGGATAAATACAAGATAGTAAACATGTATACGAAGAAAGAACAAATACTGACGCTTCAAAGTAAACTACATACTTCAGATATCGCCCTTTACAAAATCAATCGTTTAAGCTACTCGTTGAAATATTTGCGATAAGGAACCTAATAGAAAAAACAAAGGATATGTGGCATCTACCCATGACACAAAATCAGTACATGCACAGCAAAAAACACACAAAAAGCAAAAGGAACGGCGCTTTTTTGCTATTCTTCATCTCAAAGTCACAATGAGGCCTTCAAAACGGAGCGAAAAAAACTCTCACCTCACTGCAAGTTTAAGATAGCCCCTAGCACCGGCTTGAACGGATTTCTTCGCAAAAACAGTTCTCTTCAATCACGTTCAACTAGCATTTATAGCGGTGCATGTGTCATAAGAAGGCCGGGGTTTATATCTATCTTATACTGTTAAACAACGGCGTTCTAATGTTTTAGTGGCACAGATAATCGATCGCTTTGAAAATAAGCAGGATCCTTGTAAAAGAAGTTAGGTTTCAAATGTTCAGCGCAAAAGGTATAAAACATTCAAAGAACAAAATTTCAATATTAATGGATTTGTTTTACCTACCTTGTAATCGACTAATATTTTCATTGCAAATCTTGAAAACGTGCATAAGTCTAGACTTAAAATCTTTACTAAATTCTTCCATAGATACAAAGATTTGGTTTGCAAGTTTGGCTGTACCTGTAAAAAACTTATTTCAGACGGAAAAGCACATTCTAAATTTTACGGTGATGCTGTTTACCGAGCCCGGAAATTTATATACGATCCAGGTAAACTAATCAATCCTTTAAATAAACTTATTCTAAAAGTTTTCCAATTCTGCACTGTAATTAGATCTTTGAATATTGTTTTTATTTGTATAAATATTTATTTTGTTATCAATAAATTAAAATCAAACTAATAGTTTTGTTATACACATATGCACTTTAACAGTATTACAATCTGTCGATCCTTTTTTGGCATCGCACAAGGGTTGGATAAATTCAGTGTTTGTCGTTGGTTCATGTCTGTCATATTTGTTTTTCATTAGTTGTTTTGTTATAAATTAGGCCGTTAGTTTTCTCAATTGAATTGTTTCATATTTTTCATGTCGGGCCTTTTATAGCCGACTATACGGTATGGGTTTTTCTCATTGTTGAAGGCCGTACGGTTGCCTATAATTAGATGGACGTGAAGTAATAGTTATCCCATGAGGACGCGGTGTGTCAGTATAAGATCACCCCGATGGCCGGAGGCCTGAGGATGATCTTACACTGACACACCAAGTCCGAATTTTTTTTCTACATAAATTTTGAAAGTTAGTCTTTATTCCGAATAAATATTTCGAAGTTTTATTGTGTGTTCAACATTACCGCCAAAATGTTACAGAACAAAAGAAAGCATGAAGAACAAAGAAACTCACGGTAGGGTGATCTGGTAGGGGTGATCCAACTCATATCACCTATTTCAATAACTGTCTCAATATTGTTGATATATATATAATGATCGTGTTTTTATGATCCTCGTCTGTGTATTGTGGAATATTTTATTGCTTAAAAATCATCTCAACAGTATCAAACACCCATACAGGTAACTATAATGAATGACTATCTTGGTAATTTAAGATGGTCCCAAATATATATAGCTGACTTTTCTAACACGTCTAATTTTTTTTTTAGTAAGTAAATAGTTTTTTAAAATGTCACATACTGATTGACATGAATATAAGCAACATTAATTAAGTATATACACATACAACAATCAATATCCAGCCATAAAAACGACTTATGAGACACTATAAAACTTAAAATTCTATAAAAATTTCAAATATATCACGTAAAAACATACAAGTCACAAAAATTGACCATTAAAAATTAATAATCAATATATTCAAATTATTATATATACATTTAAAATTGTCTAATTCTTACTTTTTCTGATAAAATTGAACTAATAAAAATCTCAGGCTTATAAAAATTTCATGAACAGCTGTAAAACAATTTTCTACGCCAGAAAAATTTATATAAAAATTTGCATATTAAGAAATATTGTATATAATAACAGTTCATAATTTCAATAAATTCGTTATCTATATCAAGGCTGTGAAAATTTTGAATAAATTTTGAACATTCATGAAAAAAGTTATATCGAATATCGTCATAAAGCGTGCATTCCAGAAGAAAATGTTTTTCAGTCTCTACACTAAAACTCTCACAAAACAAACAAAGTCTGTCTTCTACGGGTGTAGGCGGCCTGGAGTATCTGCCAGTTTCGTGCGCTAGCGATAGAGCCCCGGAGCGAAACAGAGCCATAACATGCCTTTCCTGTTTAGAAATGTTTAGATATATATAAGGTTCTGTTTTCACACATTGTTTATAACATCTGTATGTGCGTAATTTGTTTCCGTTTTTTACATTACGACGGTCATCAAAAAGTTCTTCACATCATTCTGTTTTGTCCAGTTTACAAAGTCTTTCACTTATCATATGCATAACTGATTTAGTCGATAGTGTTAACATGGTTAAGTCATATACGTCGAATCCATTAGTCTGATCCGATCAACAATCTTATGCACTTCAAATGTCCATCCTTTTTTTCTTCTAGATGTCCATTTAAAAGTTTTGTAAGAAATTCCATTTTGGTCAGAACGGATCAACTTGCACAAAAGTCTACAATTATTTATTCGTTGTTAAGTTATTGGTGAAGTCAATCCCATATCACCGCGTGAAGCTATGTTCGATGTGCGCTTCCCCACCGATAAGAAAAATTTACATGCTCGGTTTTGTACCGCTGATATGGCACTGAACGATTTTGTGCCCCAGATTCCACTACCATAAAGTAAAATTGGTTCAAGAACGGGCGTATACAGTTTATTATTCACTTTATAAGTCATCCCTCCCATGGATTGAGTTTTTGTAATTAAAGCATCCAAAGCACGGCTCGTTGCTTTGACCAATTCTTTTGCATTTTTTACGAAAGTTAAATGTTCGTCCATCCACACACCAAGATATTTGTATGAATCAATATAGTCAATAATTTTTCCAGAAAATCGGAACGAAAAATCTGAACGTAAAAATGACTGTGGACGGAAATGGACAATTTTAGTTTTACCTATATTTACGGATAACTTCCATTCAGCGCACCATTCGGATACTACATTTAACATACGTTGTAAACTTTCTTTATCTGGAGCTATAAGCGCTATATCATCCGCGTAAAGCAGTAAACTGAGACAGAAATCATCCATATGTACTCCACATTCTAGAGAGTTTATACG